GAAGCCATCGCTAGCTGTTAAAGTCGCTAACGGCTAAACAAAAGTACGGTAGAGCCACCGGAACCTTTGTTACATCCGCTATAAGACAGAACAGCAGTCACCCAAGATGGAAAGAACTATTGGTGCTTAGGCAAACTTACTGAAATATAATTACGTTATATGGTAGTTAGCGAGAGCAGAGAAAAAAGCGCTACCACCACACAAACACCGCTAACACCGGAAACGGAAATGGGTTGATACGCTTACCGCTACGCTTACGCCAGTCAACAGCATGGAGAAGCAATGCTTCTTGGCAGGAAATGGCTCCCTAATGAAGACTACCGATTTGATTTAGAGACTGGACACAATGCATGATCTCACAATTTTTGCCAGAAAAACGCCTATCCAGCTTGCTAATTAGACAATCAATGACTTGGTAAAATAATGCTCTGGGGAAGTCCTCTTCATTCCAATTTCTCTGCCCTACTTAGCTCATCATCAGTGAGTCCAGGAATTTTGAGCTTATTTTTTGTTGCCTTTTGTTGTCTGCTTGTACACCAATTTCACACTGTTGTGCAAGCTCCTCAACCTCTTTCCACAGTTTGCTAAAATAATCATCAGATCTGTAATTGTGGAAAGTGCTTTTAAGGGACTGTACTAAATCCACAGCCCTTGCTAAGTTGAGAGTGCTGGACTGGAGCATGTCTGTTGCTAGCACTGATCTTTCACCACGTTTTTCAAGTGAGAGATCTTGCAATAGTTTCAGCACTGCAGGAAGTCTGTCCCTAAGATTACGGCATGCTGCATATCTGCAGGCCCACCTGGTGTCTGAAAGTGACTGTAGTTCCCTGGGCTGCTGTGATGGAAATAGTTTCTGTTGAACATCAAGCCACCTCAGGTGCACATAAGAGCCAGATATAACGTTATATAGCTGCTGCAGAAGTGCAAAAAAGTCCACAACCTCAGGCACTGATTTTGTAGCATCAACAAGAACTAGATTTAAGCAATGAGCATTGCAATGCACGTAAAACGCAAATCTGGCATTGCCCTGTATTCTTGCTGCAACCCCAGAATGCTTGCCACTCATGACAGAGGCTCCGTCATAACCTTGTCCCACCAAGTTGTTTCTGTAGTCTAGACCAGTGATTCTCAAATGGGGGTACGCGTACCCCTGGGGGTACGTGGAGTTACTGCAGGGGGTACGTGAAGCTTTTCAAAATATATTTTAAAAATCAGTAGGCTCCTCATAATAAGTCTTGGGAGAAATTATTCTGTAAAAAGTTCGATAGAATATAAATGTGTGTTCATGGACAGCATTTTATATTCAGTATTTAGTTTCAATATCCTTTAAAACAAAACAGACCCCCCACCAAGTTAGTTTGACCCATGGACCCAGCGCACTTGTCAACGACCTGTCGTTACCATGGTTACGCTATAACTATGGAGACGTGGCTAAAGCGTAGCAGCAACGCTGCTGAAAGTGCAGATGAAGTTAAAAAGAAGGCAAAACCAGAGCCAACGAAGTACAGAACATCCATGGAGAAGTATGCTTTAATGGGATTTACGTCCACGATCTCTGACCCCCCCCCCAGGCACTGTGTTTTTTTGCAGGGAGAAATTAGCCAACGCTAGCATGAAGCCAGCGCACCTCCAGCGGCATCTCACAACAAAACATGGATGTCACGTTGGTAAGCCACCGGAGTTCTTCAGGAGGAAACTTTCTGAGTTCAAGTCATCCCAAGCCACAATGCGAAAAGCCTCCACTACATCAGCCAAAGCCCTGGAGGCTTCTTAGGTGTCTTTGCTTGTTGCTATAGCCAAAAAACCGTTCACCATAGCGGAAGACCTACTGCTCCCCGCTGCTGTTGTATTGGCCGAAACTATGCTGGACAAAAAATCAGCGGATACATTAAAAACTCTGCCTCTGTCTAATAAGTCTGCCGCAGAATAGATCACATGGGCACAGACATTTTCGAACAAGTTGTGGGGAAACTTGGCGACTCATTTTCACTGCAGCTGGATGAATCCACAGATGTGAGTGGAAATGCGCAACTTGTTGCATTTGTAAGATACATCGACACAGACGACATCTGTGAACACATCCTATTCTGCAAAGAAATGGAGGGGCGAACAACCGGAGAGGATATTTTTAATGTCGTTAACATGTTTTTCACTGAAAATGCTATCAGCTGGAAATCCTGCAGCAGCGTCTGCACAGATGCGGCTGCATCAATGACGGGCAGCGCGAAAGGGCTCATAGCGCGGATTAAAAAAGAAAATCCCCTCATCAAGTGGACGCACTGTGTGATACACAGGGAAGCGCTAGCGTCCAAGAAAATGAGCCCTGTGTTTTGAACGACAGCATTAAAGTTATAAACTTCATCAAGTCAAGGCCAATTAACGCACGTTTGTTCCGCAGCCTCTGTGAAAATACGGGAGCTGAACACACTGAACTGCTCCTGCATACTGAAGTGCGCTGGCTGTCTCGTGGAAAAGTACTGAGCAGGCTATTTGAGTTGCGAGCTGAAGTGCACACATTCCTGACAAAGCACGGATCTCCCCATGCCACCTTGTTTGAGAACACGGACTGGCTTGCAAAGCTTTGCTATCTGGCAGATATATTCAGGAAACTGAATGAACTGAATATGTCCTTGCAGGGCAAGGGCACCAGCATCCTGAACCTGTATGACAAGGTGGGTGGTTTCCTGAAGAAAGCAGAGATGTGGAAAAGGGCATGTGATCAGGAGGATTTCACCTGCTTTCCTCAGCTGGATGCTTTTCTCTGCAGTGAGGATGTGGCGACAGCTCCGGTGAAGTTAGTCATAGTGGGACATTTGGCTAACTTGATCAGTGGTTTTCACTCCTACTTTGCTGACATGGATGAGAAATCTGCACAGCTGGATTGGGTGAGAAATCCATTTCTCTTGTCTGAAGCAAACAGAAGCAAGCTTCCTGACAGTCATCAGGAAAAACGAATGGAAGTAGCATCTGACCGTGGCCTGCAGATGAAGTTTGGTGCATCCACGCTCACACAGTTTTGGGTGTGTGTGAGGCAGGAGCACCCTGAGCTGGGACAGAAAGCTTTGGAGCAGCTGCTACCCTTTGCATCCACATATTTATGTGAGGCCTCCTTCTCTGCAATGATGCTGATCAAAACAAAGCAAAGAAACAGACTGTGCCTGGAGAAGAGCTTGATCACTGCAGTTGCCTCCCTGCCAATGAGGATGACAAAGATCCTCAGTGAGGTGCAAGCCCATATTTCTCATTTAAATGTATTGAGTATTTTTTTTCCTGTTCATAAATCACTGCCTGTTACATACTGTTCAAATCAAATCAAATGTTCAATGCAAAGTGATTAAAGTGCAATCTTCTTTTTTTTATCCTAAAAGTTGTAACCTTTATTTTTTTGTAACAAATCTTTATTTAAGTTCATTTATTTTGTAAACAAAATATAATTTATTTATGATTAAGTTATAGATTTATTTCTGTGAACACATTTTAGTTATTTATGTAAATCTTCAATTTTGTACCATTACAGAGAGCAATATAAATTTGCAGCGTTAGCAGCATATTTCAGTTTTGACTGATTTTATGCCTTCCTGGTGGTCACCGTCTTCTGTTTTTCTTTTTTTTTCTACATGCAATGGTTGGAGTATGGATCAGTTGTTTGGCTTTAATAAATAAGACAGTGATTTTACAGCACTGTACCTCTTTTTTCTTCCAAAGATGTTTTGCCTGTGTCAGGGGGTACTTGACTAAAAACATATTTTTAAGGCGGTGCATCACTGAAAAAAGTTTGAGAACCACTGCAGTAAAGTACTGTTTTGAATGTTGGGTAACTGAGCCACATGTTCACATTGTCCGTTATTGTATTTTTGTATGGATCCAACCCATCTTCCCGCTTATAGATGTAAGAGAAAATGGCAGACGCAAAAGAGGAGGTGAACTATTTTCAAAAATGTTTATTACGTTAAAGTAGTTTATATGTGGTGGTGTTTGTTTCAGGTAACGTTACATTTCTTTATTTCTCCCCATTCTTCTAGGACGATTTGCGAAATTTGGCCCTCAATTTGGTCTCCAGGCTGAGAGCTACATTGAATAATCCAACACCAAACAGTATGTATCATGAGTTACTGTGTTTACTAGGTGGCCATCTCTAGACAACATGTGTGCTTTCATTACATTATGTTGCTTTCCCTGTATATATATAACAATATGCAAATACTGTTTTTGGAACAAGTTATTGCAATCGTTATGGAAGTGTTGCTGTCATTATCATACAGCTTACCTATTCATTTAGCCTATAACACAAAAAATGCTATGATGTCAGTGAATTAATTGTGTTGAATGAACAATGAAGTTCAGGGACACAGCAACGCACAGTCAAGCTCAGCCAGGGTATCCAGGCAGAACACATCCCAGGAACCACAAGAGCACAGTGTGGTGCGTGTACCTACACAGGTACCTTCAGGGACTGCAGTTCAACAGAACATGGCCAGGTTTGGATGTTGTTCAAAGGATGCATCTCAAATGTTTCAATAGCAGCCGTCTTCAGTTCCTCACACAGTTGTTTGACTGCTGATTCAAATAAATTTTATTTCATCTTCTCTAACCACAGGTGTTTCCCTGGACTATTTAAAGATAAGAATAACTGTAGGCTTCCTTCGCGATTGTCAAAAAAAAGGTCAGGCACCAAAACAACGCCAATCCCATTCTTCCTTCTGGACAGCCCAACAGAGAGAACCCCCAAACCATCTGATGAGCTAATGCTTTTACAAGCTGGGTTAGGAATAAGGACTGTAAATGTCCCAGAGGATGCTGGCCATAATGAGGTATGTGGTATGACACTTAATGAAGTAAGAAGTGAAATTTTCACAAAACATTAACCTATACTAAAACAGCATATCCAGTGAAAACAGTAGCCCCAATCTTAGCCACCAAAACCATTTCATTCAGTTTTGGAATGCTGCCAATAGGTGTTATGAACAGATTTGTCTTGAGCTCATTTATTAGATAAATATTCGCTAATCTTACTCGCATACTTTAAATTCATAGATTGCAAACATTCTTTCTGAGACGTATCCAAAGATGTCAGATCTGGAGGGTGCCTGGATGTTGCAGAAAGCCATGGGTAAAAAGCAAGAGATAGAAGTTTACTTTTTTCTCTCCAAGCAAAGGAAATTTATTGAATCCTTTTGTTTGTTATAAAGTTGTCATGTTTGAAAAGTATGATCCTTCCAACAAGGGGCAGAAAATAAATGTTTGTTTAATATTTGAAATTAAACAGGAGGATCAGGTCAACGGAAACTCAACTTGTTGACACCTGAAGAGGAAGGATACACAGGGGCCAGTCTTGTGAAGAGCTGGGGAGGCAAGGGCTGTCTCTACATTATGCCCATCCAGAACACACTGGACATTTCTCCCCTACCCTTCACAGCCGTGGAGTTCCAGGCCATGCCGAAAGCCCGGTGTGTGTCATGTCAGGAGTATGTGCCTCTGCAGCTCCTCAGTCTCCATGTCAAGACATGTATCCAGTCTAAAGTCAAGGTTGAGGTATGGCTTGCTGACTTGAAACTATAACATCGGCCGTGTCAGCTGACAGGAATCAGGAGTGGATTTACCCGACCTGCGATCGTCTTTTGGGAAGGGGTAACATGCCTTCCATAGCAATGGCAAATAATTTGGCGCTGTCTCTCATTCCACCAGAACTCAGTGAATTAAATGTGCTTGAGAGACAACTTATAACTAAGATCTTGCCATTTGCTAAAATAGTAGCTTCAGCTAAAGGTCGGCAGAGAGCGGTACATGGGGCTGTGGTGTGTGTTCCTTCAGAAATGGAAACCACAGTTAACTGCTTACCACGGCCCAGAGAAGAGGCTCAGCTGCTACAGGTTAAGCTGAAGCGTAACATTAGGTACAAGGGCCATCAGCATTTCTTCACTGTAAACATGAAGAACGTGTTAGGCGCTTTAGCCACTCTTAAAGAGATTAATCCAGAGTATAGGGACATTTCCATTGACCGTGAGGTTAATTATGATTATTTTTTTGAAGATGAGCCCAGTGATTTAGAAACGGAGGAAATCTCCGATGCAGATTTGTTAGAAGCAGCTGCAGACCCCAACATTGAGGAAGGCCCTGTTGAAGGTGGAAATGCTGAGAAGAAGCCTGAGGAGGAGGAGCTTCGTCCAGGTTTGGCCCTCGACACTTGCATGCAGCCTCCTGATATCGCTCTAGAAATTTTGTCGTACGGTCAGGGTATTTTTAGCATAGCGCCTGCCCACGGAAACAAACCTGTTGGCATTTTTACCACCCCAAAGCTAGAAGCTAAAGCCTTCCCTGTTCAGTTTCCTGCAGGGAAGAATACACTCTGTGAGCCCAGAGCCGTGAAACTCTCCCCTAGCAGGTATTTCAATGTTCGCCTCTTTTCTGCAGACACTCGTTTCGCTGTATATCAGAGCTATTTGTTCTTTGCTCAGTTTGCGACAGAGACACATATTGCTACTAATAGCATGTCAGTTTCAGCTGCGCAAAAGCAAGCCGGTCACTAATGAGGGACGCATCATTTCAAGCAGGATGCTCCAACATAAGGTAGAGGTGGAAAAACTCATTAGCAATAGATATGCTACCAGGTTTATGAGACCAGTGAGAGGAACACCAGCTTATTGAGAGAAAGCTCTTAAAGATCTCCACGCCATGGTGCGGCAATTAGGCAAACCAACCTTTTTCCTGACTTTCTCTGCTGCTGAGATGAGGTGGCCTGAGGTCATCGAGGCCATCAAGGCTCAACAGGGCGAGCAGGTCGACTTCTCTCAGCTAGACTGGAATGCCAAGTGTGACATCCTCAGGAGCAATCCAGTCACAATCATGAGACTGTTTGAAAAAAGAGTCGACGCGCTGATGAATCACCTGATTCTGTCGCCAGCTCAGCCAATTGGTGAGGTGGAGGACTATTTTTACAGGGTAGAGTTTCAGGCTAGAGGGAATCCTCACATTCATATGTTGGTTTGGGTCAAGGATGCCCCTAAATTGGAAGAGGGCTCAGAGAAAGAGGTGTACGAATTGATTGACCGATACATAAGCTGTGAGATGCCTGACCCAGACGCCGATCCTGAGCTCCACCAGATCGTGTCTGAGGTCCAGATCTACAGCAGGAGCCATTCCAAGTCACGCAAGAGGGGGAACGTGGTCTGCAGGTTCGGGTTCCCAAAGTTGCCTGTGGACAAGACCACCATAACGTTCCCAACTGTTGCGGATGTAGAGGCCTTTCTCAATGATGGGGAGATGCTTGATGATGAGGGGCAGCTGTGTGGGGATATTGAGGTGCTGGGTGATGAGCGACCCAGAACCAGTAGAGCGTGCCAGGAGGAGCAGCCGGTGCTGGGTGAGGAGTGACCCAGCACCAGCAGACACGGTGAGTCTGGCGGTGAGGAGACCGATGAGGAGCGACCCGGTTCTGGTGGAGAGGCCCAGAGAAAAGATGAGAGAAAGAAAAGTCTGGGCCAAAGGCAAATGGAGGCCAAAGAAAAGCTAAAGCCCATTAGGGACTTACTCTCTGACCCAACTCAGTCATTTAGGGACTTGTCAGACCTGCTCCAGAGATGCAACCTGACACATGACCAATACCTTGGCCATGTGTATAATTTAAGCGAAAGCTACACACTGGTGTACAAGCGTCATCCAAACAACTGTTGGGTCAATGCGTACAATCCCCATCTGCTTAGAGCCTGGAATGCCAACATGGACATCAAGTATGTCTTGGACGATTACCACCTAATGCCGGCTGGCCTGAGGCAGAAGATTGCCACCGCCGCCAGCTCACTCCATGACCATGACAAGACCGTTGCCCGCTTCGTCAAGCGGTATGAATCCAGGTGGGGCTACACCTTGTTCGGTCGGTGCCTTGAGGCGGATTCTCCCGAGGTTCCAGGATCCTGTAACCGCAGTTATTGCAACTGTTTACAGGCCGCCAAATTATAGCTTGGATAAGTTTCTGCCCCAGATGAGGCATTTGTTAGACTCCAAATCTTCAGACACCATTCAACTTTAACAATGGTTTCAAAGTGTTGAGCTATTTTCATGTATATCAGCTCCTTAAAGTATTTTTAGCATTTTTTTAATACTCAAAATTCTTCCATCAGTCATTTCTGAGTGTGGAATGGACTCCTACGGTACGGAACTTTGGTACAAAGTGCCGCTTCCAACTGACTGGAGAAATGCAGGGAAATCCTTTAGATTTTTTTTCAAACTGCATTTGTGTCCACAATCTTTAACTCACTGAAATTATTTTTACAGAAAAATGGAGGAAAACGTATCCTCTTTCTCACATTGTAACTTTCACAGCATTCAGGGTTTAATTTTTTTAATCAGCGCCTTCAAAGTCAAGACACACCTTCCAGCTGCTCAACAGAAAGCAGCTCAACCAAGGAGAAGACTTGAGCCCCAAAACCTGAAAAGACAGACATTAAATATGCTCTAATTTTGTTCAATTTATTTTCTTAGGAAGACAAATGAAACTCCGTCATAATCAGCAAAGTCTCATTGCTCCGTTGGTGTAAAATCATGCACACCTTGAGTTCCAGTTTTCAGCAAAGCACAGAGATTTGAGCCATCTTTCGTCCAGACTTGCTGACTCTTCATAGCAGAATAACTGACAGAGAGAGCTGTTCCAACTGACACACACACACTCACACACACCACTGCTACCAACTCCTCAGTAAGGAAAGTGGCTACTGGCTGTCTTAACGGTTGCTAAGTGAACTAACCACCTCATTTGGATCTAAAAGTTGCATTAAAACTGTATTCATCCACAGTAGATCGGTAGGACTTTTGTGCATGTGTGGTTCAATTGCAAAGTGGACTCAGAGTGGAGTGGCTCTCCTCTCTCTGGCTGCAGGTGGCTTTGCTGCACCAGGCTCTGTGAGAAGTGGGAGGGCTGCTTGCTGTGGACAGTAACAGCCAATCTGGACTCACCAGTCTCCAGTAACACAGGAAAAGATGTCACAAGCTGCTTTTTTGGAGGGAAAAAACCTTCAGCTATCGCTTATTAACTTTTAGATTACTGACTCACATTTGAATTTATTTTTTCCACTGAGTGTTGCTATTTTTTCCATATTTTTTTCACATTCATGAGTGTTCTTTGGCATTTTCACAGCTGTTGTGCAGGAAAAGATCTTTCTTATTAATGACTAACCATTTTTTCTGTTATTAACGTACTTGTACTTTTTTAATCTATTAGCGCTGAACATTGTTGCCATTAATGAATTACTTTAGTAAGTTAAACAGTGGTGTCACTGACAGCTTTTTGAATGTATAGACCAGCATAGATAGTTATTAATCATATTGACACGGACGGCCTGTCAAACTTAACCTCAGAAACAGTTTTCATATGCATAATAAAAATACTGTAGAGGGAGTAGAGCTGATGGTCAGACTGGAGAGTCACTGAGGAACTATGGGTCAGAATGTGGAGCTACATAACAGAACTGAGGCCAGGCAGGACCAACAGATAAAGCCTGAGTAAACGATCCAAATAAATAAAGACTTAACTGATGCGCACTGAAAATGTGAAAGTTCATGTTGCCTAAATGAACACATGCACTCTGCAACACTTTGAGACACTTTTTTTTTTATGTAAGTGGTTGTTCATTTCAAATTGGAGCCAATTAGTCAGAAAAAGCCTAAATATCTTGTGTGAACCACTGTCACATGTTACCACAGCTAGCAAAGAGGAGCGCTGCTAGCTTGATGCTTATGCTAACATATGTATCTGGTCAGAAAAACAAAGGTTAGCATTTTTTTTAAAAACTTAATTAAAATATAATAAAATGTAATTCAACCAAGTAGAAGAACAGTTAAACTGTGTGCAATTTAATGATTGTGCTTGCATTTTGTTTTGCGTTTCTCATTTTCAGAACATCATCAATCGTAGAGAGAGAATCCACTTGCAGGCAGCATCTCCTCATCAAAGACTGACCCAAAAACTTGAGTAATATAGTTGTGAACTGAGTCAACCTTTATTTTGG